ACTTGTCCTTGATTAGACTAGTCAACAAATTTGCAAACCAAAAACAAAACACTGCAATCTAGCATTTAACTTTCTCCCAAAGTTCTGAGCTCTGGCCATCATTAATTTAAAAAATACATATTTTCTTTGTTCTATGGCGCCAGAGGATCAAATCCAGGGCCTTCCACATGCAAAGAAATTAAGTAACTTGCCACAGGTCACAAAACTGGTAAATGATAAGGTGGAAAGCATAAGCCTCTGTAGGCTGAGTCTTCACAGCCACTGCATTACAATGTGCTATTGCACTCAACCCTGTCTGAAGAGAAGATCCACCTCTGATTCATTGCATCAGCATCCTGGGATGCACAGGGCCCAGAGCCCTTATATTTCTGTCATCTGTCTTCAGTTTCATCATCTGTAAAATGGATATAATGGTAGTTTACCATCCTAATCAGGTTCCTGTGAATATGACCAGACAACCCCTGTGAAGCATTTAAACAGAGAGTGGCATATAATAGTTACACAATGAGTTGTACTTGTTAATAGTATTACTGTGTGGATCACTAAAGAACAGCTGATGTGCTTCCTCTGTTCTGTCCTTTAGGCGAAAAGAGTGATCAGGGAATGAGAGGTGAAGGGTTCTTGCTCTGACCTACAACAGCTGTTGTTTCCTTTGCCTGCAAAGCTATGCCCACTGCCCCAACTCCTGTGGACCACTACCTTGCCCAATTATCACCTTTTCCAAGAAGTCTTTCCACATAAGGGGCTCCTTCTCTCAATGTAGAACTCCACAACACATGATCTGCACCTGTATTCTCCTCCACATACTGGACTAGAGACTCCCTGAAGGCACGGTCCAGTCTGGGATTTGTTTCGTGTTCTCAACCTGACAGAAACAGAATCCCCTGAAGAAAATGGTGAGCCACGAGGATGCCCCAAACTTATAAAGGCTGGGGGGCAAAGGCGGGGGGGGGGGCGGTATGAAGCTGACCAGGATAAGATAAAGCAGGTCACCCAGGATAGGCCCTGACATAGGTTTGAATCAGGAGACAGCACAAAATCCCACAAAAAAGAGCAGCAGGTGGGGCAAGCAGCCTCTCCTGAGGGCAGGCAAAGGGAGCTGGGGGAGAAGATGATGATGTAGTGAATTAGACATATTCCTAGCACTTCCTCAATGCCCAGTCAGTGTAGATGAGAGTGTAGTACATGAAAAACTTCCTGGGAGGAACAAGGGGCACTTAGAGAAACAGAGTGGAGGGGCTGGAGCAATAGTTCAGCGAACAGGGTATTTGCCTTGCATGTGACAGACCAGGGTTCGATCCCCAGCAACCCATATGGTCTTCTGAGCTCTGCCAGATGCACTCCCTGAGCGCAGTCGTGAGTAAGCCCTGAGCAGAGCCAGGTAAGTGTGTCCCCCACAAAAAAAAAAAAAAAAAAAAAAGGAAAAAGAAAAAGAAACAATGGGCAGAGCTCTGGGCAGAAAGTCACAGAGCATAAAGACTGGAGACTGCCTCAGGGGGACCATTCCCATGTGGAGATAGGGACCACAGAGATGCTGTGTTCTAGCACTGGGGGCACAGGGTGGAGGGGAAATCAGCAGGAAGAAGCTCCGTGGAGGATCTGAAAGGGAACCATTCAAAAATAGAAAGTGAAGCAATTGCTCCAAGGGTGGATAATGATATAGAAGTCAAGAATCCCTCCAAAGAGGCTAAGGAAGGGACAGAGAGATGGTATAGAAGTTAGCATGGTTGCCTGACTGACCACCGACCCTGGTTTGATCTCCAATATTGCATATGCGCCCCCCCCCCCAACACTGCCAGGAATGACCTCTGAGCCAGGAAGAAGCCCTGAGCACCCAAACCAGAACCACCAAAAAGAGGCCAGGAATCTTCCTCACAAAGGAACTTCCCAGAAAATGAGGCCACAGGTACACCCTGAGGAAACTTGCGGTGGCTTTCAGGAGAGAAAGGGATTTCTCTCCCAAAAGTCCAAATCAGAGTTCCAGTGAGAGCTGGCCCCCCGTGCCAGGCCAACCTGGCCACTCCCAAAGCCCAGTGATGCGCTGGCTGTGCACACTGGTCAAGGAGTCACACTTGCTGCCACGCTCCAGAGGAAGTACCGAGCCCACTAAGGAGAAACTGAAGGCGGTTTCTGAAAGGAAATGCGGGAAGCCCTCAAGTCTCTAGGGAGGGTGTTGTGGGTCGCTATCTGAATGGAAAAGTTGGCCCTTTTAAGGAGGACGGTGTCTCTCAAGCATCTTTTGTGGGGAGCCGGTGATGCAATGCTTCTCAGGTCCCCACCAGAGTTATGTATACCTGCTGGGGGATTCTGTGGCACTGAGGATAGAACTCGGGGCCTTGAGGAGAGAGCTCAAAGGGCTGGAATGCATGCTTTGCATGTGGAAGTCCAGGGTTTGATCCCTGGCACTGCATGGTCCCCCAGCATCACTGGGAGCGATACCCAAAGCCTTACTATTCAGAGTGGCCCCCAAAACAAAGAAGAACGTGGGGCTGGTGAAACTACAAAGCCTCACATGCACTAACCCCAGTTTGATTCCCAGAACCAAGTGGTCCCCTAAATATTGTGAGGTACATCTCTGAATGCCCCTGAGCACCACCGAGGTGGCCTGGCTAGTCCCCAATACCACAGGGCCCTGACAAAACCACGTCCTTAGGCCCTTAAACTGAGCCGATGACCTGATTGGCCAATGCCAGAAGGAGCTCCCGGCCTTCTGAGGTGTGGATGGGGGTGTGTGGGACCCTTCGCTGAGCCCCTACAGTGTGAGCAGGGGTTGAAGACTGCCTCTCCCTGGGGCTTGAGAGGAACTGAAGAGTTCCCAGAAGTGGGGAGCAGGAGATTTGGCAACATCACCTCTATGTAGGTCTAAAAGGTGCACCACTTGAGACACTGAAAGAACTTCCAAATAAAGAACTTGGGGCCTCTGTACCTGAGCTTTCCCCTGATCCTCTCCAGTACCCTTGTGTATTAAGACATAGGACCCCGGAACCCTGCCCAGTGGCACTGCAGGTCCTGAGCAGCACTGCACCACTGAGCCTCACGCTGAACCACTGAGTCTGGTTGGCCAAGTACTCCTGGAAGTGGCCTGGGGGCTGCAAGCGCTGCCTCAACGCCCCCCCCCCCCAAAAAACATTTTAATTTAAAAGGGATTATGAAAGTTTTCATGGTGGAGTGAGTCAAGAATATTGGGGGTTTTGGGGGGGAAGCCAGCTCAGATTTGAGAAGAAAATCCACCCAGACTTCAATGAAGGTGAGACATAAACAGGGGGTCTGAGAGGGCCCTGGGTAGGTACTGATCTGGTGGAATGGGAGGAAAGTCTCAGGCAGGGCGGGGCAATGGAGTTATGGATGAAGCATGGGTTGGGAGAAAATTTTCCAAAGGGCTCTGAGGGAGGTATGGCTGGGAGCGGGGTGACAGAGGAGAAAAAGGTGAGAAAGGGGGGCCCTCCAAAGGGAACATGAGAACACCAGGGCAAGGCGGCTTAGCAAGCAGGGGCCAGGTCCTGAAAGAAAGGTGGAAGCAGGGGTTCGTCGCGTATTAGAGGGTTGTCAGGAATTTGAGAAAATCTCTAGGAAAATCGTGGAGTAAGGCAGGAAAGGGGTTCAGGAGGTTCTGAGGTTGCTGCATTTCTGGAAGGAATTTGTCCAGACCATCTCAAAAAAGCCTGAGGTGGGGATGGGAATGTGTGGGACCCCTCGCTGAGCCTCTGGGGGAAAGAAAACAGGGGTTGAAAATCGCCTCTCCCTGGGGTGTGAGAGGGACTGAGGGGTCCCCAGAGGTGGGGAGCAGGAGGTTTGGTAACACCACCTCCAAGCAGGTCTAAAAGAGGGGGTCTGTAGGGTTATCGAAGGTGGGGGAGCCACCTAGAAACTGACAGAGAGAGCAACATGGATGGAACCTTTTGAAATCCTGAAGAAATTTCTGGAACATGTAGTGAGGTGACTGGCAAGGAGTCTTTTTTTTTTTTTTAAAGGGAACTGGTAGATGCTTTTGGACTACAGGAAGGTTCAGAGATTTCCAGGGAATTTCTGGATGAGTTATTTGGAACAAGGGGGTCTCCAGGGAAGATTTAGGGTCTCTGGGAGGCACATTTTTAGGTGATGGTGTTTAGAGACACCAAAGGGCTTGGTGAAGGGAAATCTGGGGTAATCTGTGGAAGGGGCCAAAAGGATGACTATGGGGACCTGAGGAAGGGGGTGACAGAGGGCATTTTGGGGTGGGGATGGGAGAAGATGGTTGGGGCCCCTGGCCGCATTCTCCAGGATCTGGACGGGAAGGGTTCTGAGATGGGGGGACCAGGAGCAAAAAGGCTGCAAGGCGATGTCTGGTATGATGGGGGGGGGGGGGGCGCGAAGGAGGGGAAATTCTGGGGCTCCGCGACGGGGAGGACTGGGTGGGTGCTGCCAGGCGGGTGTCTGGGGGAGATTTCTGGAATGTCCCAGGGGCCTCGGCGGGGGCTCGGCCATACAGCCGAGTGGCCTGGGGGGGGGGGGGAATCCCTCGGGCGGGAGGGGCGGGAGGCGGAGGATGGGGGTTCGGACCAGAGGCGGGGTGCGCTGGGGCTGCCATTTCCCAGACACGGGGCGGCCTCTGGAGGCCGGGGGCGATGGAAGGGGCGGTGGGGCCGCCGGAGAGGGCCCTCGGTGGGGCTGCCCCGCAGGGAGGTGCCCCGGGGCGATCGGCGGGCGGCGCGAGGGAAAGGCCCCCGCCCGGGGCCCCCGGCGACCCCCGGGCAGTGAGGGGGCCTGGGAGGGAGGCGCGGGAGCGGCCCGAGGGGCCGATTCGGGGGGCTCGGCCGGGCGGGATTCTCCAGAGGGCCGGGACCCCGCGCCCCCGCCCCGCCAGGCCCGCTCTCGGCGCCCGCCGCCTCCCCGCGGCTCGGGGTCCCTGAGGGGGCGGGGCCGCCCGCGCGGCCTGGGGCGCCCTGAGGTGAGCCCCGCGCGCCCCGACCCGCCGCCGCCCCGCGTCCGCCCAGCCCGGCCCGGCCCGGCCCGCGACTCACCGCCTCGGCCTCGGCCTCCGCCGCCGCCGCCGCCGCCCGGGCCTCCTCAGGCCAGCGCCGCCACCGTCGCCCCCTCTCGGGCCCGCGAGCTCCCCTCCCTCCTCCCGCACCGACCACCGCCGCCGCCGCCGCCGCCGTCGCGCTGCGTCACCGCGCCGTGCGTCACCGCCCCTGGCCCCTCCCCGCCGGGGCCGCCGCGCGCCGGCATTAGCTCAGGCCGCGGTGACGAACGGCGCGCCCGCCAACGGGCGGCGAGGGCAGCCCGAAGGGCGGGAGGTGTGCGCGGAGCCAGGCGGGGTCCCGGCCGCGACGGGAGCGCCGGGGGTTGAGCGAGGCCCCCGAGGCCCGCCCCCCGCGCCGCGGGATTGGTCGGCCGCGGGGCTGACGGACAATCGGCGCGGCTGGCGCCCGGGGGCCGGCGGAGGGGCGGGGCGCGCGCGGCGTTGCTAGGGGCAACGGGCCCGGCGGAGCCTGGGATTGGACCTCCCGTCCCGCAGAGGGCAGTCGCGCCTGCGTCTCCCTCCGCGACGCGGAGCTAAGTCACAATTTCTAATTCTGGCGTTCGAGGCCCGGCACCCCGCCCCTCCGGCGGGTCCCACCTAAGCCCCGGGCGCCGCAGTGCCACCCCCCCATCCCCCGCCCACTCCCCAGTCGGTCCCGCGGGCGAGTCGGCTGCTGGAATCTCCGCTTTCTGACGGCAGCGCTCCCTGCCTCCGTCTTGGCTCTGCCGAGTAGATCCAGGACGGAATTCGAGGCGATGCCTGGGGGAGGCAAGCGCTGGGCCCACGGAGGCCTTCAATAAATGGGAGTGGTCATCTGTTGGCTCCAAAGACTGCTGGATTAGAGCGAGGGGTCCTCGCTCGAGGGGTGCTCAGATGATTCGGTCACGTCCCTGTCCACGCTGTGACAGGCAGGGATGGAGGGTGGCGTGCGAGGCTGGGTGTGGTGGGAGGTGAACGCGACCCAGACGGTGGGATCCTTGCGGGAACTTGGACCTGACCTGAAGGCTTTAGGAAACCCGGGCAACGGCTTGCCCCCGGGGAGTTGTGATTTGAGGATTTGGCGAGATGCCTTTAACTCCTACTTGGACACGTTGGAGGCAATTAGAACTAGGTGGGCCTCGGGGAAGGGGAGGGTTTGAGGGACTTTTGCACTGGGGTGGATTTGGGGAAGAGGTGGCTGGTCCCAGAAGGGGAGAGGAGAATTTAAGATGAAATGGGGCCAGGGAGATAGTACAGTGGGTAGGGCATTTGCCTTCACAGGATCCACCTAGTTTCCCTTCCCCCCTGCACACCTGGAGTCCCCTAATCACCAGGAGTGGTCCCTGAGCACATCTGGGCGTGGCTCTAAAATGAAACAAAACCCCAAAAAGCCCTTGCAATATGTGGGGAAGAGGTTGGTGGGATGCTCCTGAGGAGACACAGTGTGGACCACTGGTCTGTAGGAATTCAGAACACTGGATACCCCCTGGGGCTGGGGTTGGAGAAATGTTGGGGCAGGAAAGCAAGATTTAAGGAATCTTCAGTGAACAGCTGTGGGATTGAGTGTCTCTGCCTAGTTTAGGAAAAAGGCCCATGCACAGACCACTGAGGAAAGACATCACAGAAGATTTGCGCTGGGGAATTGGCCCCCTGTATCGAGACTGAGAAGAAGCAACAGAAAAAAGGCAGAGGGGAGATGGTGTCCTGTCCATTGTGAGGGAAACCAGCTCTGCCCCAGGGGTCTGCATGGATCCCAGCTCCTACACCTCATTATTCAGGGAAAAACTTTCACACTACCCCATAGTCATAGATCCGGGTTCATGGTGAAAAGTTTGTGGGCCAGAGAGATAGTCAGGTAAGGTGTTTCCTTGCATATTTCCCACCCTGATTCCATCCCAGGCATCTCATATGGTCCGCCCAGTGCCTCTAGGAGTGATCCCTGAATGCAGAGCCAAGAGTAAGCCCTGACCACTGCCGGTGTGGCCCAAAATCCACTCAGCAGTGCTGTGGACTCATCTGTCAGTTCTGTCATATTTCTTCAGCACCTACTTCATGTTAGAAATTAAACAACACATGAGGACAACCAAAAAAGGGGCTATTGAAAGATACCTCGAAAGGCTAGTGTGCATGCTCTGCTTACAAGAGCTCTGAGTTGAACCCCTAGCACCACGATTCCTGGAGCACCTTGGGGGCAGTCCCTGAGCAACACTAGATATTGCCCCCAAGCAAAACAAAAAATGTAGGCTTCAAGTTCACATTCTAGTTGAGCACATGAAACAGAAATAGACAGGGCCTGAGAGAGTTAACAGGTGGGTAGGGCTCTTGCTCATGGCCGATCTAGGTTTGATGCCCAGCACCCCATAAGGTCTCCTGAACCCCATTAGGAGTGATCCCTGAGCACAGAGTCATTAGAGAATCCTGATGTACCCCTACCTGCATTTAAAAAAAATCCAGAAGAGCATCCTACCCACTCTGGTCCCGGCAATGAACAGGGGTTACTCCTGGCTCGTGCACTCAGGAATTATCCTGGTGGTGCTTGGGGGAACCATATGGGATACTGGGAATCGAACCTGGATTGGCCACGTGCAAGGCAAAAGCCCTACCCACTGTGCTATCGTTCCAGCCCCTCCAGCCCTGTAACTTGGTTTTCTAGTGAAACCTCTGACTGATAAGTTGAGAATAGTGCAGGGAGTGGGGTAAAAACAGAGGAGCATGGGAAGGCTGCAGGGGAAATGGAAGCAGGAGATGAAGGTGGACAGGGGCAGGCACTGGGAAGATCTGGGTTCCATGGTGAAAAGTTTGTGGGCCAGAGAGATAGTCAGGTAAGGTGTTTCCTTGCATATTTCCCACCCTGATTCCATCCCAGGCATCTCATATGGTCCGCCCAGCGCCTCTAGGAGTGATCCCTGAACGCAGAGCCAAGAGTAAGCCCTGACCACTGCCGGTGTGGCCCAAAATCCAAAGAGGGGGAACAAAAAGTACAGAGCTGTCCAATTGCAAAATCCATGGCTGGGGAAAGAGAAAGATTCAGGATGTCAGGAAGGCACACAGGAGGAGCTTTCAAATGGCTGTTCAGGAGCCCAATCCATAGTACAGTGAGAAGGGTGCTTGCCTTGCACGCGGCCAACTCGGGTTCAATTCCCAGCATCCCATATGGTCCCCCAGCAGTGCCAGGAGTAATTCCTTAATGCAGAGTCAGGAGTAACTCCTGAGGATCAGGTGTGGTCCCCAAACAAAACAAAAAGATGGCTGTTGAGTAGACAAGTCTGGAGCTAAGTGAAGGCTGGAGAATGCAAAATTTGAATGTGTAATGAAATTTGAATTCAAGATCAGGAAGGGAGGTAGAAAGGAGAAGGTGACCAAGTGCTCAATGCCTGGGAATTGACCCCTCTCACACCCACTGTTAAAAGGCAGAGTCAGGGCTGTACACAGCGGGAAAGCCACTTGCCTTGCATGTAGTTGATCCCGGTTCAATCCTTGACACTGCATAGGGTCCCCTGATCAGCCGTGATCCCTGAACATAGAACTAGGAATAGCCCCTGAGCACCACTAGGTGTGGCCTCTAACCCCCCAAAATGCAGAATCATCAAAGCAGTGGGGAAGGAGCATCCAGCAGGGAGGAACATCATTGGGGTGGGGGTGGGCACCTGGAGCAAGGGCCAGAGTGTCAGCATCAGCGGACTGGCATTTGGGAGGTGACAGGTTTGGAGCTGAGTGCAGTATCGGGGCAAGGGGCTGGCATGAGTCTGCCAGCAGAGGGCTGCAGAGAGCACTGTCTGAGAGAGCTCAGAGGCTTTCAGGAAGCTTTGCTGCAAAGCGAAGGAAACGAATAGGACCGGGGGACCAAAGGAGGGGTGTGGTGGCTGCACAAGTCTTATGGTTCAATGTTGGGGTGACGGTGGCAGTGGAGGGCTGCAGTTGGGGAGCAGCCTCTGGTTCCTATGCATGCAAGGCCTGTCCCCTGGCCCCTAAGCTGTCTGAGGCCCGCAGTGATGGCTTTGAAGAGGGCCAGTGGGTGGAATAGTGCCATGAGGAGTTGGGGAGAGGTTTGTCCTGTATTGTGTCTCCTGCCTGCCCCCAGTCCCCAGAGGACGAGCCCGAGCGGACTGGGAGCTATGAATACTGTCTTGTTTGCTCGGATGTCCACATGAAAATACCTCAGTTTCGGGGCTGGAGTGATAGCACAGCGGGTGGGCTGATCCGGGTTCGATTCCCAGCATCCCATATGGTCCCTGAGCACCGACAGGAGTAATTCCTGAGTGCAGAGCCAGGAGTAAGCCCTGATCGCCGGGTGTGATCCAAAAAGAAAAAGAAAAAAGAAAATACCTCAGTTTCCAACACATTTCTCCCCCTGCATTTCTCCTTCATATAACGGTTAGGTTGGGATATTGACTTGGGGGTGGGGGTGAGGAATGTATGTGTTTAAGGAGGTTTCATAATCTAGAAGTTTCATTCCAGGATGGGAAAGGAGCAGATCTAGATGTTCTTTTTTTTTTTTTTTTTTTTTTTTTGCTTTTTGGGTCACACCCGGCAATGCACAGGGGTTACTCCTGGCTCTGCACTCAGGAATTACTCCTGGTGGTGCTCAGGGGACCATATGGGATGCTGGGAATCGAACCTGGGTCAGCCCCCTGCAAGGCAAACGCCCTACCTGCTGAGCTATAGCTCTAGCCCCAGATCAAGATGTTCTTAATGGGAAAAAGGAAACCAGAATGTAGGGGGTTGGGTGTGGGGGGTGGGGAACGTTCTGACAGGACTGACCAGGTCTGGGTTAGGGTCTCTGGGATAATCTAGCATACAGATTATCCTCTGTCCATCAGCATAATGAGGAGCAGCTTGATTTGCAAGTGCCCCTTTCAGCTCTGTAATTCAAATTGCCTTGATGCAGAAAGGGTGTGAATGCAGAAAGTTTTCCTAGCTGAGTGGGGGTTGGCAGAGCTGAAAAAACTCATGACTCTGTACTGGATTTTTTTTTTTTTTTTGCAGGGCAGGTCACATCCGGCAATGCTCAGGGGCTACTCCTGGCAATGCTCAGGGGACCATATGAGATGCCAGGACCGAACCAGGGTAGACCACGTGCAAGGCACACGTCCTCCCCGCTGTGCTATCACTCCAGCCCCTCTGTACTATAACCTGATCATGGCCACAGGAATCATGCAACCATTCAGTTCCATCCCTGCTCCCAACACTCTTGTTTCTGCTTTGGAGGCCACACCCAGCTGTCCTAAGGGCTGACTCCTGATGGCTCTGCGCCCAGGGGTCATTCCTGGTGGGCTCTAGAAATCAGGGGCTTGAACCTGGGTCAACATCATGGAAGCAAATGCCCTATCTGCTGTGATATTGCTCTGTCCACCCCCCTCCCCACATACACACACTCCCCCCCATCAGGTTTTTGGGCCACACTCAGTGATGCTCAGGGGGTTATTTCTGGTCCTTTATTCAGGAATCACTTGTCTGGTGATCTCAGGGACCAAATGGTGCTCTAGGGATCAAACCAGAGTCAGCCGTGTGCAAGGCAAGTGCCCTACCCACTGTACTATCTCTCTGGCCCAGGCTGTTGCTCCTGCCACTTACTCTTGAATCAGGAAGGTGAGGACCCTTAGACCAGGCTGCACAGCAAGGCAGACTCAGAGTGGGGGGTCTGTGACTGTGAGCCTGGGTGGTGCTGGCCCATGAGGGGGAAGGAAGCAGGGGGAGGAGCCCCGGGTGACAGTTGTCCTGGAATGGGCATAAACAGGATGTGGTGTTCATGAAACCTTTCCCCTCTCCCCACCCCCACTCAGCCCGGGCCCCCAACCCGAGGAGACAGCAGAACCCAGAAAAGAAGCCTGTGGACAGAAGAACCATGGTCAGGAGGCCAGGACGGGAGAGGGCAGCTGGGGCTGGGAGGGCACCTGGGGGTGGTCAGTGGGGGAACAGGACCTGAAGGTGGCGGGAGAGAAGGGTGGTTCCCAGCTTAGACCCTTGAGAAGATCCTGAGTCTCCCTGGGGGTGGTCCCAGAGTCCCTGCTGAGTGTCCAGCCTTGCTCTGCCCCCTAAACTGGGTAGCAGGGTACAGCAGTGACCTTCAGCTAGGAGATGCTTCCTCTTGGGGAAATGGAGGCAGGGAAGGGGCTGGGCCTGGACCGGAGCTCACTTCTCCGGCCCCGCTGCATCCAGTCCGACTCCCTGGTGGTGTGCGAGGTGGACCCGGAGCTGAAGGAAAAGCTGCGGAAATTCCGCTTCCGAAAAGAGACGGACAATGCGGCCATAATAAGTGAGTTGAGTGTCCGCTCTGCGCCCCACCCCACCTCACTGCCCCGTGCAGCGGCCTGGGACTGCACTGCCGTCCTCCGCCGCTGGGGGGCCCTCTCACCCCCCTGTCCACCGCCCCCCTCTCTCTACAGTGAAGGTGGACAGAGAGCGGCAGATGGTGGTGCTGGAGGAGGAATTCCAGGTGAGGGGCAGGAGGCACCCAGGAAGTGCCGGGCGGGAGGGGGAGGCGCATGGAGCTGGACCGGAAGCGGAACTGAGCTAGAAAGGTCTGGAGAGCAAGTCTCAGCCCAGATGGTCGCCCTAGGTCCCCAGGCCCAAGACCTGAGTGTCCAGGTCTCTTTCCTCATCAGTGATGGGACATTGTGGATTCAGTGATGTAGTCCTTGGAACAGGGTTACACCCAGGTCCCCTCTGCTGGCATAGTACATGCTCAATAAAATGATGCTGCTGGGGCCAGAGCAATAGTACAGCTGGTAGGGCAGCCTAGCTGGGTTTGATCCCCGTCACCCCAGATCGTCCTCCAAGCCTACCAGGAGTGATTTCTGAGCGCAGAGCCAGGAGTAAGGCCTGAGCAGTGTGGTCTAAAAACAGAAAACAAAAACAAACTAACAAAAACAGACGCTGATGGCTGGGAGTGTAGGTGAAGTAAGCATGTTCTTCCCAAGTATAAGGCCTTGTGTTTCCCTCCCCAAATGGTGGTGGTAATGATGATGATAATTATACATTATTGATACTAAAATGAAAGGGAGTCCAATGAATAAAAGCCAGGGGAAGGCCTTTCTGAAGGGGCAGGCTTCTCTGGGCTGGAGCTATAGGACAGTGGGGAGGGCCCTTGCCTTCTGTGTGACCAGCCAATCCAGGTTCGATCCCCATCATCTCATATGGTTCCTCAAGTCCACCAGCAGTGATTTTTTTTATTTTTTTGGTCACACCTGGTGATGCTCAGGGGTCACTCCAACTGGCTCTGAACTCAGGAATTACTCCTGGCGGTACTCTGGGGACCACATGGGATTCCTGGGATCGAACCCAGCGTCGGCCACATGCAAGGAATATGTCCTACCCTTTGTACTATCACTGGCTCAGAAGTGATTCTTGAGAGCAGAGCCAGGAGTAACTCCTGAGCACTGCTAGATGTGACCCCAAAACCAAAATTTAAAAAATAAAAAAAAATAAAGGATAGACCTTTTTTCCCCTCCTTGGTCTGAACTCTCTTTTCTCAGTAACAGCTGGGGGATGAGTCTAAGGCCTACTTTATAGGGTGGGGGGAAGATGGGTGGCGGTTATCCTTGGAAGTGAGGCCTTGGGGCGCCCTGCCGTCTTGGAAAGGAAGTTCAGTGAAGTGATTATAATCTTTACCTGGATTCAAATCGGAGCACCCTCCATCCTCACATCTGTGTATCTCTGGGCCTCAATTTCCTCACCTGAAAAGTGGGGAGAATGTTAGGGGGAGCTTAATGTGGTAGGTTTTTGACCAGTGCTTTGTCATATAAGAAGAGCCTCACTCACTCTCTCTCTCCCCCACTTCTCTTCACTCTTCCTCTTCCTCCCCCACACCGCTCTCTCATTCCCAACCAGAACATTTCTCCAGAGGAACTGAAATCAGAATTGCCAGAAAGACAGCCCAGGTATGGTGGGGTGCTGAGAGTGGATTGGGGTGTTGGTGGAAAGGGACTTGGGTTCCCTCTCTTGGCTCTGGATTTCCATGCTTGAGCCGAGAGTGTATCCAGCCAAGAGTGCATTTTGTTTGCTAACCTTGTACCGAATTTTTCCTGAATGGTCAGAAGTGATACTTGGAGTTTGCTTTTTGAGGTATAAACTTGGTTAAGTTTCAGCCTCAGCACTGGACTTGCTATATTACAGAAAGAATTCGCAGGGCGGGGAGATGAGTCAAATGGCTACAGCACATGCTTTGCATGTAGCAGGGCTGTGTGTATCCCCCTAGCACTGCCAGGAGTAGCCCTTGAACACTGCTGGGAGTGGCCCAGTCATTCCCCCTAAAAAAAAAAAAGAAAGAAAAGAAGGGGCTGGAGCGATAGTATAGCGGGTAAGACTTTTGCCTTGCATGTGGCCGACCTGGGTTCGATTCCCAGCATCCCATATGGTCCTCCAAGCACCGCCAGGAGTAATTTCTGAGTGCAAAGCCAGGAGTAACTCCTGTGCATCGCCAGACATGACCCAAAGAAGCAAAAAAAAAAAAAAAATGAGAAGCAGGGAGATAGCTCAAAGAGTTGGAGTGAGTTTGATCCCCAACACCGGTTGCAGTGACCCTCATCCCCACAATGCACCTGGTAGCCCCCAGCTCTGGTGGGCCTGAGCAGTAGTGCATGGCTAGACCCAAGTACTGACCCATCCGGCCTGGCCCAAGTATCATGGGAAGTCGCCCCCAGGACCCTTGGACACTGCTTGTGAGGCTCCCAAAATGAGGTGGCAAAACTTCCTCCTTTATTTATTTTTGCTTTTGGGTCACACCTGGAAATGCACAGGGCTTACTCTTGGCTCTGCACTCAGGAATTACTCCTGGCGGTGCTGGGGGGACCCTATGGGATGCTGGGAATCGAACCTGGGTCGGCTGTGTGCAAGACAAACTCCCTACCCGCTGTGCTATTGCTCCAGCCTCTATTTATTTATTTTTGGATATTTTTGGATTGGAGTTTGTTTTTTGGCCACACCTAGCAGTGCTCAGGATTGTGCTGCTGGGGAACAAACCCAGGTTTGTTCCGCATGCAAAGCAAGTGCGGTACCCTCTGTACTATCACTTTGGCTCCTCAATGATTAACTTATAATGCTCTCCTGCCCCCTTCCATTTGTTGTCATAGTTGGGAGTTGCATGCACATCTGGCTATGGGCTTGGAGTGGGGCTTGAGGGGTGGACTTCTAGTATGTGCGCACAGTTGTGGTTGCAGGGGGGTGAGGGATACTTGTGGGTGGGAGGCACAGGGAGTTGCTTCAGAACTCACCCCACTTTTTTGTTCGTTTTTGGGCCATGCCTGGTGTTGTTCAGGGCTTACTCCTGGTAAGGGATCACTTCCGGTAGGGCTTGAGGGACCATGTGGGATGTCAGGAATTGTACCCGGATCTGCCCTGTGCAAGGCAGATACCCTACCACTGTATTATCTCTACTCTCCCTCCAGCTCCAACACTCACCCTGTGTTTAATCACTGACTGAGGCCAGGACTTGGGTCTCAGACTTGCGTGTGAGGGAATCTCAGGCCTCTCGGCACTGAGGTCCAGGCCCCTGGGTCGGGATCCCTGCAAGGAGCCCTGATGGGGAACCCTCTTTCCTGGGGCAGGTTTGTGGTTTACAGCTACAAGTATGAGCACGAGGATGGCCGGGTGTCCTACCCCCTGTGCTTCATCTTCTCCAGCCCTGTGGGTGAGTCCAGGCTCCCCCATCCTGAGGCGAGGGGTGGAGAGCCAGAGGTGGGTGGGTGTTTGGCATTATCGGCCAGGCTGGGACTGGGGGCTGCGTATGAGTGTGTGTGACTGAGTTAGTGTGTGTGGATGTGTGGAGGCCAGTGAGCAGGAGTGGGGGGAGGCTCATGTTCCTTCAGGGCTCATACAAGTCTCTCCCTTTTCTGTTTTGTTTTGTTTTTACTTTGGGGCCACACTTGGCAATACTCAGCCTGGCAATGCTCAGGGGTTACTCCTGGCTCTGCACTCAGGAATCACTTCTGGCAGTGCTTGGGGGACCACAGGGGATGCCGGGACCAAACCCGGGTTGATTGCATTCGAGGCAAACACCCTACCCACTATACTATTGCTCCTGTCCTAAGCGCCTCTTCCTTTCACCCGGAGGTCGCTCTCTGGCCTCTAAGGCACATATAGGAATGCCCCCTCCCCAAACAAACAAAAACAAAAACAACTGAGGAGAATTCCAGGGACGCCCTGAAAGCAGTAAAAAAAGTAGGAAACTCCAGGGCCTTCAAGAACAATCTGGGGTCCCCTTTTATGCTTTTCTCTTCGTATGCTTCCCATGCAGGCTGCAAACCTGAGCAGCAAATGATGTACGCTGGGAGCAAGAACCGGCTGGTGCAGACGGCGGAACTCACAAAGGTCCGGCGACTTAGGAAGCAGTGTGGGGGGTCTGGGCTTCCACTCAGCGGTGGTGGTGGTCAGGGCTTACTTCTGGTTCTGTCTTAAGGGAATCACTCCTAGCGGTGCTGGGGATCGAACCTGAATCAGCTGTGCTAGACAAGCGCCTCATCTGCTGTGCTATGGCTCCAGCAGCCCCTCTTGGCTTCTGTGCCTGAGCAGATCCTAACGCTGACGCCTCTCCCATCCAGGTGTTCGAAATCCGCACCACCGACGACCTCACAGAAGCCTGGCTCCAAGAGAAGCTGTCTTTCTTTCGTTGACTTCTGAGCTGGAACCGGAATTCCCGATGTCTGAGTCCTGAAAGGAACTGTGGCTTCAGACCCCTAGGATCTGCACTTCAGAGTGACGCTGTAGAAATTAAAACGCCAGAATGTAGAATCCGCCTGTGGCCATTTCTGGTCTTGTCTGTGGGCGCTAGCCTACAGTGGCTGTTGTACCCATTTATGGCCAGCAGAGGGCAGGCGGACCCCAGCTTGTCCCCTAGGACAAGCTCAGCGTCCTGAAGGGAAGGGCGGCAGTGTTCTCAGTGCCAGGGTGGGTGTGCGGGGGCTCTGCAGGATGAGTGGGGGGTACTATATCCCTGCAGAGACTGTTCCCAAGGAGAATGAAGGACACTCGAGTTCCCAGAAAGTCAAGTATGCAGAGCCCATCTTCTCTGTCCCCTCCGTGAACCTCTACCCCAACCAGCCCCAGGCTCCAGTTTGCCCCAGGGGACATACGTTTCCCCGGCAATCCCCTTCCCCAGGACGGGTGGGAAGAATTCAATGGCTGGGAAGTTGCTGACGAGTCCCTTTGCCTCAGGGTTGTATGAGTTGCCAGGGTGGGAGGGAGGTCTGTGGAGTGAGGCTTGCCTGAGGTGTGGGGGGCAGGGTGCCCATGGGCTTCTTTGAGTGCTTGATCTCACAGGTGCGCAGATATGAGGCCGCCATCGAAGGTGCACCCGCAGTGGAGCAGGTGCTGGGAAGCCCTGGATGGGCAAGCCCTCACAGACAGGAAACGGTTTTTCTCTCTTCTCCTCCATGTCTCTGATTGTTTTCTCTGTCCCCAGACTCAGGGACCTGGGATCTCCCTCCCCTCCCCCCTGTTCAGGTTCCCTGTAGTGAGGTGGCTGTTGCCATGGTAACAATGACACAGTGACCTTGGGCCAGGGCTCCCCTCCTCCAGCCCTGCCATTTTGGAGGGGAGGGTACACTAACCCAGCTCCAACCCTTTCCCCTCCAGCCCAGCCAAAACATATTTTCTCATCATCCCATGCTGCCCAGTCCCTAACCCTCTTTGTCCCCAGTCAGGATAAGTCCTTTGACAGAGAGTCAGGATAGAAGTATTTGACAGGAGGCCATCGTGGGAACTCTTCCCTGGCCCCACTTTGTGTGAGGAGTGCCTGGAGTTGAGCTCTTCTCTGATACCTCCTTGCTGTCTCCAATCCCTACCTCCCAGCCCCCTTTACGCTCCCTACCCAGGGTATCTCTACCCCTCCTCCTCATCACAGCCTCCACCCCCCATGACTAGAAATGGAAGAAAGGCTGGGGCAGGAGGGCATCATTCCATGAAGAAGTCAAGCAACTCCTGGCTTGCAGAGGTCAGAGAGGCGAAAGGACTAGCCCAAGTTCATGCATTTACAAGATCAAATGAATAATAATAGCTAACCTTCTGAGTGAAGGTGTCCTATATGCCGGGTACTTCACTAAGCACTTTACCCGGATTAGCTCAATGAATTGTTACAAGGCCCCCATGAAAAAGGTACCATTATTATCCCCAGTTTAGATGAAGAAACGGAGGCACAGAAGAAGCCAAAAATAATTGCCCAAAGCCACACAGCTAGTGGTGACCCAAGACTCTCCCGTTTTTCCTTTTAGGCAGGGGATTTCAGGAACTAGGTTCTTTTCCTCCTTGCCCCTTCCTGCTGCCTCCCTCTTCCCCTTCTCAGTAGAATTTTTTGTTTGTTTTTGGGGCCACATCCAGTCGTGCTCAGGGCTGACTCCTGGCTTTGCACTCGGGAATTACTCCTGAACACCATGTGGATGACAGGGATCAAACCCGGATGGGCTAGATGCCGGGCAAACGCCCTACCCATTATACTATACTACCCTTACGTAACTGAACTCTCTGTATCCAGGCTCATGATTGGTAATAGAAAGAACCATGCACAGGGCTTGCCCAATCAAGAGAAGGGAGTTTAATTGCGTGTGATGTGTGTGTTGGGGACGCACCGGGAGATGCTCAGGACGTACTGGTGACTCTGCTCAGGGATCAACCCCGGAGGTCTGGGGGAAAACCATATATGCAGGAACCGGAATAGCCAAAGCCCAGGATAGCATCACGCAAAGAACGCTCCCTACCTACACTAGTCTCTCCTGTCTCAAGAGCAGGGCGTTTGAAAAACAGGGACCAATCAGAGGAGATGACTCTGACGGACAGTCCAATGCTGAATAAGATTGGTGTAGAGCCCCGCACGCTGGCCAATGAGGTGTGAGCATGGGTGGGCGTGGCTTGAGGCTCGGGCCACGCCCCTGAGGTGGTTCTACTGATGCCTCTAACCTAACTCTGGGCTCCAGCTCCCTGATTTTGGAATCAAATCCTCGCCTGCCTGGACACTTCTCCCTGCTAACCTTGAATGTGAGCCAGTTAGAAAGGCAAAGACCAAGCTTCAGAACCTGAGAAAGACGAGAGGGTCAGCGCCTCAACAGGAAAGCTGAGACAGAAGGGAAGAAGTTGAGGCTGGAGCAATATAACACAGTGATTAGTGCGTTTACCTTGCGGCAGACCTAAGTTCGATCCCCGGAGTCCCACATTGTCCCCTACCCCCAGGAATAATTTCTGAGTGCAGAGCCAGGAGTAGCCCCTGAGCATCAGTGAGTGTGGCCCCAAAGCCAAAAGACAGAAAAAGAAAAGGCCAGACCATTTGGAGAGTAAGGGTAAAAGGCAAAGGAGGGTACCTATGCTTGAGGTGGAATCTAGGCTTGAAAAAGTGTTAAAGTGTGTGTGGTATTGGGTAATATTTTAGAGGGGTGGGTTTTGGACTATGGGGGTGGGTTCTCCCTAGGCTTGAGGGAGCTATATCAGATTTTTGTTTTATTTACTTTTTGTTTTTGGGCCACACTTGGTGGTGCTCAGGGCTTACTCCTGACACTGCACTCAGGGATCATTTCTGATGGGTTAGGGGTACAGTATGGCTTACCGGGGATTGAATTTGGTAGGCCACTTGCAAGGCATACACACTACCAGCTATTTCTCTCTCTCTCTCTCTCTCTCTCTCTCTCTCTCTCTCCCCCCTCCCTTCCTCTATCTCTCTCTTCCCCTCTCTCTCTCACTCTCTCTCTTTTCCTCTCTCTCCTCTCTCTTTCTTTTCCCTCTCCCCCCTGTCTTTTGAATTTGATTTTGGTTTGTTTTTATTTTGGGACCACATCCAGTGGTCACCCCTGGACCACATTGTTCATGGTCCACATGCAGTGCAAGGCAAATGCTTTACCTGCTGTTCTATCTCTCTGGTCCCTGTTTGAGTTTTGTAGGGGACAGTGAGTGAAATTGTTGTTTTTGTTTTTGTTGTTGGAGTGCCAGAAATTGAGCCTTCTTCCTCTCCCTCCCTCTCTCCCTCTCTCCCTCTCTCTCTCTCTCTCTCTCTCTTGCCTTCCCTCTCTCTCTCCTTCCCTCTCTCTCCCTCTCTTTTTCTCTACCTCTCTCTCTGTTTGGGGGTGGAGTCTTTGATACAGAGGGTGGGGCCTGGATTTGGGAGCAGACTACTCAGTGGCTGGGGAAGATTGTGGAAAGGTAAAATAGGTCTTCTTTATTCTTTTGTTTTTTGGGCCACACCCAGTGATGTTCAGGGATTATTCAATTACTCCTGGTGGTGCTCAGGGGACCATCTGGGATGTTGGAATTTGAACCCAGGTTGGTCACATGCAAGACAAACGCCCAGCATGCTGTTTGTCTTTCTGCCCCAAGATAGGTCTTTTTTAGGTCTGTAGCAGGAATTAGGGCCCCACGAAATAATCCCATCATCTGCTTTCACCCACTGCTCTCTACTTCAGACCAGCACCCATACCTTGACCTCACGTGGTATTCCCTAACTACTGAGGTGTTCCCCTCTCCTCACAGAAACCCCCTCTGGGAGATGGTGCTCATTCCTGAGAATGACCCCTTCAGGGAATCTACAGGGGACAGAACCCCCAGGCCCTGTTCCCCCACACCCATGCCCAAAAAGCAGGGACCAATCACAAGTTTACTGGTGGTCTACTGGGGGCTGGTTGCTATTTTTTTGCGGGGGGGTTACACCCAGCAATGCTCAGGGGTTACTCCTGGCTCTGCACTCAGGAATTACTCCTGGCAGTGCTTGGGGAACCATATAGGACGCTGGAGATTGCACCCAGGTCGGCTGCGTGCAAGGCAAACACCCTACCCGCTAGAAGAAAGTTAGTGGCTGACCACTCCCTTCAGTTATAACTCAACAACAAGCAGCAAGTTGATCAATAAGTAAACAGCCTTAGGTAGACCAATAAATAAATGAAATGGTGATTTTGCAGCTATGAAGGCAATGAAACGAGGTGACAAAAATGGTGGGATCTGTTTATGGCCTTTTCATTTTGGGGGAGATTTGGGGGCCACACCTGGAGGTGCTCAGGGCTTACTCCTGGCTCTGTGCTCAGGAATCACTCCTGGCAGGGGTTGGGGGGCCATGTGGGATGCTAACGATGGAACCTGGGTTGACCACAAACAAGGCAAGAGCCTAACATTGCTCCAGTCCCTATTATGAAAGTGATAAAACATGTAGGCAAGATGAAAGAATTTTGCAGAGGATATTCCAGTCCCCTCAGTATTTGACCATCCATCCATCTATTCATCTCCCCACTCCCCCTTATTTCTCATGTGTTTCAAGATGATTTGCACACATCAAGACCATTGGTGGAGTAGCAACTGGGGGAAGAAGAGGGATGACCTGGGAAAAAAAATTACACTGGAACTAAGACTTGAATGATGGGGCCGGAGAGATAGTCCAGTGAGTTTGGCGCTTGCCTTGCATGTGGCCAAGCCTGGTTGGATTCCCGGCACCACATATGGTCCCTCAGGCACTGTTAGGTGTCATTCCTCAGCACAGAGCCAGGAGTAAGATCTGAATACTGTCATGTGTGCCCACCCCACCTCCCTCCCCGCCCTGCACCGAAAGACTGGAATGAAGAGGACATAGCCAAACCCAGGGATGCCATGAGCACCGCTGAGGGAGCATGGAAAGAGAAATGCTCATTGAGGCAGGAGCCTGGAGTGGTTGTTCTCTGTGGGGGACTATTGGGACTGGTATCCTTCATGCCTTCCCTTCTGTATCTCTCTCCTTGTGGCTCCCACTCATGGCCACCTGCCATCCTGACAGCGGACCC